GGGGTGGAGCTCCCTCGTCTGGCCGGAGATTTAGGCTGAGAGTCCCGCTTTGGGGTCTCTTAATTTCCCCTCCCACAGGACGAAGTTGTCGGGGCGGCTGCAGATCCAGTTCTTCTCCGTGTGGCACAGGGACGAGCTGATCCTGCCCTGGTTCAGGTACCCACAGGGGCCCCCACCCCTCACCTCGAAGCTGCCGTTCAAGGCCGTGCCATTGATCCACTCCCAGCCGTTATCCCCCATTCCCAGCCCGATCCAGTGGTTTGCTTCGCCCTTGTAGCGCAGAAGGAAGGCCTGGAAGGCAAAGAAACGTTGGCTTTGGCCAGTCTTGCCTTCCCCACCTCCTCTTTCCCTCCTGTGCCCACCCCCAGCCAGACCTGGGGCTTTTCCCAAGGGAAAAGTTCCTCCCAGTCCTCACCAGTTCCTCCCAGTCCTCACCAGTTCCTCCCTGGTGCTGATGGTGGCCAGGGAAGCTCCCAGGGCCTCACACCTTGCCCGGCCCGTGGTCCAGTTGCCCTCAGCCTCAGAGAAATGATAACATTTTCCTTGGAAGCCAGGCCAGGTGTCTGGGCACACGTGGGAGAACTCCAGCTCAGAGAACTGGGGTCTGACACTGAGAACTGAAACACAGAAAGCTGAGTCAGACACGTGGGCAGCCCCGAAAAGCAGCAAAATGGGGTTGATTCCTTGGGGTTTTTTTTTCCAGCAGCTGGAAGAGGAAACTGGGGATGATTCTCTTGGGAAAAGGTGTGACCAAGGGAGGAGCTGGTGCCTGGAGGAAAGTGCAGGGGAAAAAGGGAGTCATCACTTTGGGAGCCTCTCTGGATGCTGGGAATGTCCTGGGATCCTCCCACCTCCCACCTCCTGGCCCGGATCCTCCCCCTGGGGGTGCCTGGGTGGGACTCACCAGCCACTGCTCCAGCCAGGCTCAAGCTGAGGATCCCCAGGAGCACACTCAGAGTGAGGAGAACACGCACCTTGGGGGATGTTCTCCACTCTGACTCGGTTCTGTAGGACCCTGGGGCAGGAAAGAGCAGGGTGAGGATGGCCTGGCTCCTCTCCCCTCTGCTTTGCCCTCCTGTGCTGGACCCTCAGTCCATCCCCAGCCCCACTCAGGCCCATCCAGGCCCATCCAACTGGTGCCGCCCCGGAGCGAGATGCTCTTCCCACCCCGCCCTCCCTCAGAATATTTGGGATTTTCCCAGCATTACCACATTTGGACTCTTTCTCTGGGTCGCTGCAGATGTTCAGTGGTTCCTCCTGGCTTGAAGAATTTGGCCTTTGGGTTCCTTTCCCCATCCTTGCAGAGGAGTCTCAGGGGCTGATGTGTCCCTGGGCTCTGTGGGGTGGATGCACTCGGCAGCCTGGGCTGGGAGGAGAGGAGAGGCTGAGGGGACCTGCAGGGAGCTGAGAGCTCCTGGGCACAGCCCTGCCAGCCACAACAGCCCTGTGGGGTTGGCACTGGCTCTCAGTGGGGCACCATCGGGCAGGGCTGAACCCACATCTGGGAGAGGAGGCGGCACAAAGGACAGAGGGAGGGGAAAAGATAAGGGAGGGGAGGGACTAAGATTAAAGAGGGGAAAAACAACCCCAAACAAATTAAGCAGAAAGGAAAGAGAAAGACAAGTTTAAAAACACTTTATTAAATAAATAAGTCACTGAGAGCTCACAGGTTTGCAGGGCACAGGAGCCCCTTCAGGGCTCAGGAGAGGCACCGAGGGCTCGGAGCAGAGTTTGTGCTTTGGGGGCCCTTTTGCAAAACCCCACAGGACTGGAAATAGCCCGTGGCAGTTCACAGCACCTCTTCTGCTCGGGTTTTCTGTGTTGAGCTTGTTTTGCTCACAGAAATCCTTGCTCTGGTTCCCCTCCCCGTGCCCACTGTTGCAGAAGCACCACCTGGTTCCCTGCACCCCAAAAACAACAGGGGCAGCAGCTTTTTGTTCCTCTGGGGTCTTGTGTGAGTTTTACCAGCACCAAAGGGACCAACAGAAGCTCGTCAGGAAGGTGTCCTGATAAAACAGCGATATTTCACTGCAAGGTGAGCTCTGAAAGCTGCAAAGGGGCAGGTTGGTTTGTGGGTAAATGGATGTGAAAAAGCACGAAGCAGTTCCCTCAGAGGGGGTTTGCAGGAGGAAACCTCAAGGATGAGCTCAGATAACAGTTTCCAGAGCAGTGGGAAGGATAAATTGGTAGGAAAAAGGAACAAACACAGGATGAGCCAGAAGGGGTGGTGGTTCAGCACCCTGGGAGTTTCCAAAGTGCAACAGGACAATGGCCAGACCTTGCCAAAGCTCTGAGTTGGAGCTGAGCACAAAACCGGGGGAGGGATCGTTAGAGATAAAGGCTTCTTATTTCATAACAAAACAATAAAGTTCCTGGACCTGCTTGATATGGCAGAAGTCCCAGTGCACAAGTTCCGTCCCCTCATTTCAAGCCACAATTTCAGTCCTACTCTCATTTCTGCCTCCCAGTGATGACTGTACAAATTCAACGAATTCCCTTAAAAGGACCCCCGAAGGTTCACGTTGTGAGACCCCCCCTGGTGCAGCCCGAGCTCCTGCCCAGGTTCAATCCTTCCCAAGCCCACCGTGGTTCCCTCCAGCTCCCCCCAAAATCACTGTTCATTCCACTCAGCTGAAACAAATTAAAGTCCTTTTTATATCATCATTTACCTCTTTGCACCACGATTTGCTGAATTCTCTTCCTGAGAAGCAACTCTGTCAGCAACCAGGGGCTGAAAAAAAAAAAACCCAACAAAACCCCTGAAGAAGCAGCAAAAATGAGAAACCAGCCCAACCCCGCAGCAGACACTCAAACCAACCCCATGGTAGCAAAAGCCTCACCAAACCCAGCTGTAAAACTGTGACTTTGGGGTTTATTCTCCCCTTCCCTTCAACGTGCCACATTTAATTAATTAATTGCAGCCCCCCCAGAGACAAGCCCCTGATGTGGGGGCTCAGCCCTGTCCCAGCCGGGGCTCACTGTGGGCAGGGAGCTCCCACCCCCCTGAGTCTGACAGCCCAGGGGCTGCTCTGGAGGACTCACCTCGCAGGGCAGCTCTCAGTGACTGTGAGATCTCCTGGTAGGGTTGGTTGAGTCATAAATGCAGAAGGAGAGTCACCAACAGCTGGAGTTGATTTTGGCTCTTCTCCAGGCCACTTCTCGGTGTGGTTTACTTGGCATCAGGAACCGTGGCTTCCCATTGGCTGCCGGGGCTCTCTGACGCTTCCCATTGGCTGCCGGGGGCTCTCCGACGCTTCCCATTGGCTGTTTTTTCGATCCCATCCGGCTCTGCCGTGTGGGTATAAACTGGCCTCGTGGAAAACACCGAGTTTTTTGTTGCCGGGCTGCGGTCGATCTTCTCCTTCCTCCTCGTTTTATTATTTCTTCCCAGTGCTCCCAGTCTGCCCAGTCACCCTCCAGCACCCCGGGGAGGGCTTCGGGGGGGGGGGGGGCAGAGCTGCTCTGGAGTACTCACCGTCGCTCTCAATGAAGGGGAGACGTCCTGGTGCTGCGGAAACGCGAACATCAAAGCAGCGTCATCAACAGAGGCGTGGTTTTCAGTTTACAGCTCTCTGGCTGTTTTGCTGTTCTCCAACAACTCTCAGTGTGGTTCATTTTCAAAGGAACGAAGTCCATTTTTTTGCACCTTGCTTGCTTACAAATATTTAAAGGTTCCCAACCAAGGGATCTGTGATGGGCTGGCCCTGGTTGGTGCCAGGTGCTGCTCTGTCACCCCCCTCCTCACCCGGGCAGGGGACAGAATTATTCCAAACTTTCACCCCGTGAAAGCTGCACAGTCTGGAGCCAGGAGAAATGAGAAGCTGTTGGAGATGTAGGACCACCTTTGGGAAACCTGAGAAACTCGGGGGGAGGTTTTTGGCTGAAGGGGTCCCACGTGGCTGGGATGGGGGCCCTGCACTTTAAATACCAGAAAAGATGGACCAGAGTACACCCAACCACAAATATTGTCATAAATGTATTTATGACCTTGTTATGCAGCCTTTCATTGCCACGGGGAATTATTTCCCTGAAGAAAAGCTCAACAGTTGTGATGAAGGGGATAGTGGGGAAAGGTAACTCAGGATTGTGCCCAGTGGCTCCTGCCCCGGCAGTTCGGAGCCCTGGGGCACCGATTTGAGTCACTGCTCGTAAAAATGTGCCGGGGACCGGCAGGAAAAGCGGCACCGCGTTGGCTCCGGTCCGTGGAAACTGTTCCCCGGCATTTCTTGGCTCCGCGGGGGCGTTAAAATCGCTGCGAGGGGTCCCCACCCCCCGCGTCTGAAAGAGCCGCAGCGGGAGCGGGAACAGAAGAAAAGACAAGAAATAGAGTAAAATGGAATAAAATAGAATAAAATAGAAAAAAATAGAATAAAATAATAGAATAAAAGGCTGCACCGAGGGGTCTCCCCCCGCCCGGTGTCGGGACGGGTGCTCTCGGGGGTGTCCGAGCGGGGTGGGAGCTGCGAATAAAATATAGAAAATAGAATTAAATGCAACAGAAGAGCGGTGGCGGTGCTGGAGGAGCTGCCCCGAGGGACAGACAGACAGACAGCCCCTGCCTTGGCTCGTGGGACCCACCCCGTGTCCCCGAAGAGCTGCGACGAGGGGCGGTGGCGGTGAAAGGGCGGCCCCGGGGCGGGGAGATGGGGGAGTGAACGGGAAAAAAGAGAGAGAGAGAAGGCAATAAAAGAGCCGCGACCGAAACTGCGGCACCGAGGGACACCGAGGGACACTGAGGGACACTGAGGGACACTGAGGGACACTGAGGGACACCGAGGGACACTGCGAGGGGGGACGAGCGGCCCCGGGGAGCGGCCCCTGCCCCGCGGCCCTGAAAGAGCTGCCCCGACGGACCGGCGGGCACCGGTGGGAGGTGGGAATCGGGGGGGTTGTTCGCAACCGGCTCCCCCGCAAAGTGGATTTTACGAGTTATTTTTAGTTTTTATTCTTTCCGCGGTTCGGTTTCTCCTCCCCCGCCCCCCGACTTTCCCCGGCCGCGGTCCTGCCCGTGCCCCGGGAGCCGCCGAACCCGCGGGAATCGGGATTTTTCCCGCATTAACGGTGGATTTTGGGTGCGATGGAGACTCTCAGATCCGGGCGGACTCCGTCTGGCAGATCCACTGCAGCCCCGTGTCGCAGGCGCGGGGGTCGATCCTGTCCCCCTTGAGCGCCCCGCAGGCTCCGGGACCCTCCCCGAGGTCCTGCGGGAACCTGCGGGTGCGGGAGGGGGCCCGTGTCACCCCCGGGGGGCCCTCGGGGGACAGGGGGGTGCCCACCCCGACCCCCCAGCGCTCCTCACCGGCTCCAGCCCGGGCGGGAGCCGTTCACCCACGTCCAGCCCATCCCGGGCGCGGGCACCGAGAGCCCGATCCAGAAGTGGCGCGTGGGTTTCCTCAGGGTCTCATTGAGGGAATCCTGGCCCGGGGAAAGGATCAGTGGTGGCGCTGCCGGGCCGGGGATGGTCACCCCAAAATAGGCTCCATCCTCACCCCGGGACCGAGCCAGGCCCATGTCCCTCCCCCCCGGTCTGCCACGGGCACCGCGGGGAATTTGGGAATGAGGGGTGTGATCCCAGGCTTCTGGGGAGCCCTTCGCCCTCCCCTGGGGTGCCTCCAGCCCCTCTGTCCCCTCGGTCCCTTCACCAGCTCGTCCTTGTCCCACGGCATCGCCATCGCGGCCCCGCGGTCCCCGCAGTCCTCCCGGCTCCCGGGCCACGAGTTCATCCTTTCCGAGACCCAGTAACACTTGGTCCTGCCCAGCATCCAGCCCACGGGGCAGAGCCTGCACCCCTCGGCCTCTGCGGACAGACAGACGGACGGACGGACGGACCCCGGCGCGCTGAGGCACCGTGGGGGGACTGGGGGAGGCTCCAGTTTGGGGAGGGGGCATCGATGGGACCCCCGGGGGGTGGGGGGTTACCTCGCGGGGGGCACAGGATCCTCCTCAGCTCCCTGAAGGTGCCGTCCAGGCTGGCACAGGGGGGTCCCAGGGAGGTGTTCCCCCACCCCGAGGTCGCCTCGGGCTGTGCCCTCTCTGCCACCCACCAGGACACTGGGACAGGAGGATGCCCAGCCCGGTCAGGGGCGCTGGGGGGGTGGGAAGGGGCAGAGGGGTCCGGGTGCCCCTTCCCACCCCCCAAACTCACCACACAGCACCAGGGACAGCGCCAGGGCAGCCGTGAGGGCCCCGAGGAGGCAGCGGGGGCGGCGGGGGGGGGCTGTGGGGGGCACCCACCGGGGTTCTGGAAAGCCAGATCCTACAGCTGGGGGGTGGAAAAGAGCACCCATCACCTCCTCACCCACCCAGAGCCCGGGGCAGGGGGTCCTGGGGCAAAGCACCCTGGTGAGACCCCCCCAACCCCTGCAGCCCCCCCTGCACAAGAGCAGGAGGAGGTTGGTGCCCCCCAAAAATCCCTCTGCTCCCGCTGTTGGGGGGTCCCAGCTCGGGGGGTGGGACAGCAGCCAAACACAGCCTCGAGAAAACCCCCCAGCCCCTCCTCCCTCAATCCCTGCCTCAGTTTCCCCACCCTGAGCAGCTCTTGGGGACCCCAGGGGTGACATCACCCCAACCCCCCGAGTCCCTGTTCCCCCCCCGACCTGGGGGGGGCCAGAGGACACGACCCCCCCCAGTACCTGCCCCCGGGGAGGATGGGGGGCTCCCCGCAGCCCCTCGTTTCCTCCCCTGCTCTAAGGCCGTGTAACCGTCCTGGTCCTCCATGTCCCGCCGCTCGGGGTCACAGTGGCCACAGGGGGAAGGCACAGGAAGCCAAAGCTGCCCCCCCGGGCTGCTGTGAACTGGCAGCGGGTTCGGAGCTTCCTGTCCCCAAACCAAAGCCCCACAACTGCTGGGGGGACTCGTCCTGGGCTGGGGGGGTCGGGGGTCTGTGCCCAGAGGAAGGAAACCCACGGGAAGGGACAAGGAGGACAAGGGGACACAGCACGAGCTGTTGGGAGGGAAAAACCACTCCTCACACCCCTCAAAAAATGGTGAAAATAAGAGATCAAGGTGTTGATCGAGATCTCTAAGAGATGAGAATTGATAAAATACCATCAGCAGGAGCTCAACATGAGAGAATTGCTCAATAAAGCACCAGTTCTGTCCAAAAATAGGTGTGGTTTCATGTAGCTCATGGCTGGTTTTCCCAGCTGTGTCTGTAGGGTAACATCGGCTCAGCAGGAAGCCCCACTTCTGTTGCCCAACTTCTCTTGCCCCCTAATGAGGAGCAATTTTATTGGGCTAATTAATTAGTCCCTGATGTTCTTTTTTCCTCTGCCAGGCACAGGCCAGCCCGGGCTCCGCAGGCTGCAGGGCTGCTGCGTCCTCCTGGGGCTTGACCCATCGGTTTTATTTGCCCCAAAAAGGGGAAAATGGCCCCAAATCCCTTTGGCCAAGCGCAGGACGGGGACAGAGTTCTGGCAGAAAACTCCAAAAATCGGTTTTGCCCAGCTTGGGAAGAAAAAAAACAAACAGAAATGAGGTGAGACCCCCCAGCAGCACTTCTGTGCTGTGTCCCCCTGAAGCCCTCCCTGGAGGGTGCTGGAGGGTGACTGGGTACACTGGGAGCACTGGGAAGAAATAATAAAACGAGGAGGAAGGAGAAGATCGGCCGCAGTCCGGCAACAAAAAACTCGGTGTTTTCCACGAGGCCGCTTTATACCCACAGGGAAGGGCCGGGGCGGATCGAAAAAACAGCCAATGGGAAGCGCCAGAGAGCCCCCGGCAGCCAATGGGAAGCGTCGGAGAGTCCCCGCCAGCCAATGGGAAGCCACGGTTCCTGATGCCAAAACAAAATGAAACTACGTCTCTTGCGAAAGTCGTTTCCTCGTTTATGACTAAACCGACCCTTCCGGGAGATCTCCCAGTCTCTGAGATCTGCCCTGCCAAGGTGAGTCCTCGAGAGTAGCCCCTGGGCTGTCAGACTCAGGGGGGTGGGAGCTCCCTGCCCACAGTGAGCCACGGCTGGCACAGGGCTGAGCCCCCACATCAGGGGCTTGTCTCTGGGGGGGCTGCAATTAATTAATTAAACGTGGCACGTTGAAGGGAAGGGGGGAATAAACCCCAAAAGTCACAGTTTTACAGCTGGGTTTAGTGAGGCTTTTGCTACCATGGGGTTGGTTTGAGTGTCTGCTGCGGGGTTGGGCTGGTTTCTCATTTTTGCTGCTTCTTCAGGGGTTTTGTTGGGTTTTATTCAACCCCTGGTTGCTGACAGGGTTGCTTCTCGGGGAGAGAATTCAGCAAATCGTGGTGCAAAGAGGTAAATGATGATATAAAAAGGACTTTAATTTGTTCCAGATGAGTGGAATGAACAGTGATTTTGGGGGGAGCTGGAGGGAACCAGCTGGAAACCACGGGGGGCTTGGGAGGGATTGAACCTGGGCAGGAGCTCGGGCTGCACCAGGGGGGGTCTTACAAGGTGAACCTTCGGGGGTCCTTTTAGGGGAATTTGTTGAATTTGTTCAGTCGTCACTTGAGGCAGAAGTGAAAGTAGGACTGGAATTGTGGTTTGAAATGAGGGGTCTGAATTTGTGCACTGGGGCTTCTGCCATATCAAGCAGGTCCAGGAACTTGATAGTTTCGTTTATAAACTAACAAGCCCTTCATCTCTAACGATCCGTCCCCCACTTTCGGGCTCAGCTCCAACTCAGAGCTTAGTCAAGGTCTGGCCCTTTATCCTGTTGCATTTGGAAACCCCCCGGATGAGGAAGCACCACCCCCTTCTGGCTCATCCTGTTTTTGTTCCTTTTTCATACCAATTTAACCCTCCCACTGCTCTGGAAACTGTTATCTGAGCTCATCCTTGAGCTTCCTCCTGCAAACCCCCTCTGAGGGAACTGCTTTGTGCTTTTTCACATCCGTTTACCCACAATCAAACCTTTGCAGCTTTCAGAGCTCACCTTGCAGTGAAATATTGCTGTTTTATCAGGACACCTTCCTGACGAGCTTCTGTTGGTCCCTTTGGTGCTGGTAATAACTCACACAAGACCCAAGAGGAACAAAAGCTGCTGCCCCTGTTGGTTTGGGGTGCAGGGAACCAGGTTCTGCAACAGTGGGCACAGGGGAGGAACCAGAGCGGGGTTTCCTGTGAGCAAAACGAGCTCAACACAGAAAACCCGAGCAGAACAGGTGCTGTGAACTGTTACAACCTACTTTCCACCCTGTGTGGTTTTGCAAAAGGGCCCCCAAAGCACAAACTCTGCTCCGAGCCCTCGGTGCCTCTCCTGAGCCCTGAAGGGGCTCCTGTCCCCTGCAAACCTGTGAGCTCTCAGTGACTTATTTATTTAATAGTTCAAGTGCCTTTGAACTTGTCTTTCCTTTCTGCTTAATCTGTTTGGGGTTGTTTTTTCCTCTTTAATCTTACTCCCTCCCCTCTCTCCCCCTCCCTTATCTTTTCCCCTCCCTCTGTCCTTTGTACCACGTCCTCTCCCAGATGTGGGTTCAGCCCTGCCAGATGGTGCCCTTGGCACCACGATAACACTGAGAGCCAGTGCCAACCCCACAGGGGCTGTCCTGGCTGGCAGGGCTGTGCCCAGGAGGTCTCAGCTGCCTGCAGGTCCCCTCAGCCTCTCCTCTCCTCCCAGCCCAGGCTGCCGAGTGCATCCACCCCACAGAGCCCAGGGACACGTCAGCCCTGAACCCCTGAAACTTCTCTGCAAGGATGGGGAAAGGAACCCAAAGGCCAAATTCTTCCAGCCAGGAGGAACCACTGAACATCTGCAGCGACCCAGAGAAAGAGTCCAAATGTGGTAATGCTGGAAAAACCAAACGTTCCCAGGGAGGGAAGGGGGTGGGAAGAGCATCTCGCTCCAGGGCGGCACCAGTGGGGTGGGGCTGGAGCCTTTGGGTGGGTGTGGAGCAGCCCAGGCACAGAATTCCAGGCTGTGGGATTCACCTCTGGAGGCTGAAGATCCGTCTCCAGGCCCTCAAACACACGTGGGTGGCTCTGAAGGACCCCTGAGCCCCCAGAGGGTCCCTGGCTGGGGCTGGGGATGGACTGAGGGTCCAGCACAGGGGGACAAAGCAGAGGGGAGAGGAGCCAGGCCATCCTCACCCTGCTCTTTCCTGCCCCAGGGTCCTACAGAACCGAGTCAGAGCGGAGAATATCCCCCAAGGTGCGTGTTCTCCTGGCTCTGAGTGTGTTCCTGGGGATCCTCAGCTTGAGCCTGGCTGGAGCAGTGGCTGGTGAGTCCCACCCAGGCACCCCCAGGGGGAGGATCTGGGCCAGGAGGTGGGAGGTGGGAGGATCCCAGGACATTCCCAGCATCCAGAGAGGCTCCCAAAGTGGGTGACTCCCTTTTTCCCCTGCACTTTCCTCCAGGTATTTGCTCCTCCCTCGGTCACACCTTTTCCCAAGAAAATCATCCCCAGTTTCCTCTTCCAGCTGCTGGAAAAAAAAACCCCAAGGAATCAATCCCATTTTGCTGCTTTTCGGGGCTGCCCACGTGTCTGACTCAGCTCTCTGTGTTTCAGTTCTCAGTGCAAGACCCCCTTTCCCTGAGCCAGAATTCTCCCACGTGTGCCCAGACACCTGGCCTGGTTTCCAAGGAAAATGTTATCATTTCTCTGAGGCTGAGGGCAACTGGACCACGGGCCGGGCAAGGTGTGAGGCCCTGGGAGCTTCCCTGGCCACCATCAGCACCAGGGAGGAACTGGTGAGGACTGGGAGGAACTGGTGAGGACTGGGAGGAACTTTTCCCTTGGGAAAAGCCCCAGGTCTGGCTGGGGGTGGGCACAGGAGGGAAGGAGGAGGTGGGGAAGGCAAGACTGGCCAAAGCCAACGTTTCTTTGCCTTCCAGGCCTTCCTTCTGCGCTACAAGGGCGAAGCAAACCACTGGATCGGGCTGGGAATGAGGGATAACGGCTGGGAGTGGATCAATGGCACGGCCCTGAACGGCAGCTTCGAGGTGAGGGGTGGGGGCCCCTGCGGGTACCTGAACCAGGGCAGGATCAGCTCGTCCCTGTGCCACACGGAGAAGAACTGGATCTGCAGCCGCCCCGACAACTTCGTCCTGTGGGAGGGGAAATTAAGAGACTCCAAAGCGGGACTCTCAGCCTAAATCTCCGGCCAGACGAGGGAGCTCCACCCCGGCACTCACAGAGTCTCCCTCACAGAGTAACTGCCCTCACAGAACAGCTAGCACTGCAGCTGGAACTGCTGGACGAACATCCCTGTTGTCTGACCAGGAAATATTTACTGAACCCCAGAAATATCTTGTATCTGAAGGCACCTCACAAAGGTCATCAATCCAACCCTCAGCCCTGCCCAGGCCCATCCCCAGGAGTCACCCCCTGTGTCCCAACCAGCATCTGAGGGAAGAACCTTTTCCTGAGACCCAACCTGACCCTGCCCTGACACAGCTCCAGCCCTTCCCTGGGATCCAGAGGGACTTTGAAGGGTCCTCCAGCAAAGCCTTGGACACTGTCTCCCAGGGCACACTCCTGGAAAAGCTGCAGCCCATGGCCTGGACAGGGCCCTCTGTGCTGGGTTAGGAACTGGCTGGAATGCCCAGGCCCAGGGAGTGGTGGGGATGGAGCTGCATCCAGTTGGGATCCGGTCACCACCTCCTCACTCTGCAGCTCCCTGCCAGGAGGGTGTAGCCAGGTGGGCGTCGGGCTCTTCTCTTGGAAGCAGCAGTAGGACAAGAGCCCTGTGCCAGGGGAGGTTTAGGTTGGATATTAGGAAGAAGTTTTTTTCAGAGAGAGTGATCTTCCTGATTCTCTATCACTATATATTTGCACCCTAACAATGCAGATACAGCTCTACTTCTCTCTTCTCCTTTTTTTACATTTATAATAAAGTTTGTACGGCCCCACGGCTGTCCCTCGTGTCCTGGTCAGTGCGGGAGCTGCGGGGGCCGCTCGCCCCGTGCGGGGCAGGGAAAGACCCGAGGGAACGTCCTGGCGGGTGCCGGGGTGGCTGAAGGAGCCCTGAGGGAGCCAAGATGGCGGAACAGCCCTCACAGAACCGCCCTCACAGAGTGACACTCACAGAACCGCCCTCACAGAGTGACACTCATGGAACCGCCCTCACAGAGTGACACTCACAGAACCGCCCTCACAGAGTGACACTCATGGAACCGCCCTCACAGAATCGCCCTCATAGAATTGCACTCACAGAATCGCCCTCATAGAATTGCACTCACAGAGTCGCCCTCACAGAACTGCCCTCAGAATCCCCCTCACAGAACCTCCCTCACAGAATTGCCCTCACAGAACTGCCCTCACAGAGTCGCCCTCATAGAATTGTCCTCACAGAACAGCCCTCACAGTGTCTGCCCTTACAGAACTGCCCTCACAAAATCGGCCTCACAGAGCTGCCCTCACAAAATCGCCCTCACAGAGTTGCCCTCACATAATCACCCTCACAGAGTCGCCATCACAGAGTCGCCCTCACAGAGCTGCCCTCACAGAACCTCCCTCACAGAACCTCCCTCACAGTCGCCCTCACAGAGTCACCCTCACAGAACCATCATCACAGAATCGCCCTCACAGAATCGCCCTCACAGAATCGCCCTCACAGAATCGCCCTCACAGAATCGCCCTCACAGAATCGCCCTCACAAACTCCCCTCACCAAATCACCCTCACAGAACTGCCCTCACAGAACCTCCCTCACAGAACCACCCTCACAGTCGCCCTCACAGAACTGCCCTCACAGAGTCACCCTCACAGAACCATCATCACAGAATCGCCCTCACAGAATCGCCCTCACAAACTCCCCTCACCAAATCACCCTCACAGAACTGCCCTCACAGAACCGCCCTCACAGTCGCCCTCACAGAATCGCCCTCACAGAGTCACCCTCACAGAACCATCATCACAGAATCGCCCTCACAGAACCGCCCTCACAGAACCATCATCACAGAACTGCCCCCACAGAGTCCCCCTCACAGAATCACCCTCACAAACTCCCCTCACCAAATCACCCTCACAGAACCGCCCTCACAGAACCTCCCTCACAGAGTGGCCCTCACAGAACTGTCCTCACAGTGACGACACCGAAGGGACGGGTGTTGGAATGTGTGTGTTTATTTTAGGACAGTTTGGTTGCAAAGGAAAGCAGGGATGGAGCCGCTTGGCTTACTGTCATCTACAGTAGTATAAAAGCATAAAAATAACACTTAAGTGTAGGGACCGAGATGGTGTGACTCTGGGAGAAACTCAAGGGGAACTTGCAAGATAAATGCACATGCGGTGATAAATCCGTGTGTGTGGGGGAAATTGCTTGGGAGTATTTTTCTCCTGCTCTGTAAATGCTTAATTAAAGAGCAGATATAGAGAAAAGTCACTAACAGGAATTTACTGCTGATGTAACGGGGTGGATAAACCATGAAAAAATTGTAATAAATTTTTTTTTTTGTACCACACAAAGTCCGTGCCTGAGTGTGTCAAGTGGAGGCATCATCCAGCTTCCCACCCGTGGGCGAGGAGAGCTGGAAAGGGGTTTTTTGGCAAACCCACGTGTGGTCACTGGCACAGCCATCAACCTCCAAGCTCTTGCCTTTCAGGGCCCCACACCCTTCATCCACCTCCGGCAGGTCCCCAAACCTGCACAACAAAGGGTTTATTGCCCCATAAACGACCCCAACGTGCCCCGTGACCCCAATGTGCCCCATAACCAACCCCAACGTGCCCCATGCCCCCAATGTTCCCCAGGACCCCGACTCTTGGTCTGCAGAGTGTTGCCAGAGGAATCAGAGACCCTTGCATGGCCCCCAGCGATGTGTGGACGTGGATCGGGGTCTCAAACGGAGCAAAGGTGCTTTTTTACCCCCCCAGACCTCGGACACTCACCTTTGGGGGTCGTAGGGGGTGTCATCCACCCACATCCACTCCTTCTGCCGTGACCTCAACCCAACCCACACCGACCGTGGGCTCCCGTCTGTGACACTCTCGACGTTCTCCTGGGACGTGGAAGGGACAAATTGCTCCCAAAAAATCTCTGTGGGGAGTTCCTGACCCCCCAAATCCACGGGACACGAGTGTCCCCATGCTCTGAACCCCAAACCCTCCTGCTGCTGGGAGCCTTTGCCCCCCTAAAATCCCAGGACTTTGGGGTCCTTCCCGAGCCTTCTCCTCCCTGTTTACCATTTCTGTCTCGTTCTTGAGCACCACCAGCTCGGAGCCCTGATCTTTGCAGCTTTTCCTGCCCTGGGTCCAGCTCCCCGATTCCTTGGAGAGCCAGTAGCATCTCTCCCCACGGAGCTGCCAGTCCTGGGGGCACAGCTTGCAGCCAGCAGGGGCTGGAGAGGAGGAAAGGCCACGAATGAGACCCCCCAAAGGTGAGCAAGGTCTTCCCCGACCCCCCAAATGAAAGGCACCAAACCCTTCAGTCATTTCCCAGCCTTGTGGTTTGTCTGCTCTGCCACCACAGAGGAGGAGGAGGAAGAGGGAGAGGAGGGGGAAGAAGAGGAGGAGGAAGAAGTTGGGTGGTGAGAAACATCCCCCCCTTGGGCTGACCGTGCTCCTCCAGGGAGGTGGGACCATAAAAAATCCCACAGAAAAAATGCTCCTTTTTGCCAGAGAACCCTCGGTGCAGGGTCTCCTCGCAGGAGGAGCCCCCCGAGGTGCCACCTGAGCCTCTCCCAGCAGAGCCAGGTGGGAAGGGGGCTCACCTGGGGGGCTCTGCCCCTGGGGCTGGCAGAAGTACCGCACCAGGGACGGGAAGATGCATCGCTCCGTCTGGTTCCTGGCCTGGATCTCAACTCTGGGGTCACTTTCAGGACCTGGAGAGCCCTGAAAAACTGGGAGCAAAGACCTGGGGATGAGAAGCTGCAGCCAAACCACAAACCCCCTCCTTTGGGGGATGCTCCAGGTGTGCCCAGAGGGGGTTTTGCTCTTGGCTCTCGTGCCTGCACCAACCCTCCGGGGCCTGAACCGCTGCAGCAAACCCAGATTTCCGCTCCCAGGCCTCTCGTTGCCGGGGTGTGAGGTGGAGATAAGAGCTGGTTACTCACCCCTCGCGCTCAGGACCACCACCAGCACCAGCAGGACGAGGTGCCCCAGCGCCCCGGCTGCCAGGAGCACTCTGTGCCACCACGGGCACGGGGCAGGAGCTGGAAGAGGCCACATTTAAGCTTAAAAAAACGAAGAAAATCAGGGGTTTAGAGCAAAAAAAAAACCCCAAACCCCTCTGCTGAGCTGTGAGTTGGAGCAGAAGTTTCTGGTTGCTTTGCTTCCTCCAAAGCCATAAATCCCCCCTGACAGGGCTCGAGCCAGGGGGGTTTGGGGGGCTCAGGGGGTGCAGCAGCCTCGGGAGCAGCCTCGGGGACCCAGTGCCAGAGGGCAGGACCTGGGAACTCCCAAACGGGCTCAGTTTCCAGCTGGGAGTTGGTGGCCGTGGGTCCCTCCAGCCCTCAACTCCTCCGGGGTCTGGACGGGGCTCGGCCCCTTCCCTGCCCTCCCAGGGGTGGGGGCTCCCCTGGGGCTTCCTGGGGCCCCTTTTGGCCACCGAGTGAAGGGTCTGGGAAACAAAACTGTTCCAGTTCTGGAGATTTTCCAGCCTCTCCTGTCCCTGTCCCGCTCCAGACAAGCCCAGACCCCATTTCAAAGACACCCCACGAGCTTGGAAACCTGAACATGGGGATGGAGGAGCGAACAGACCCCAAAGGTAACGGGCCCAAAACTCTTCCCAGGGCCCGAAATAAGCCCTTTTTCCCCCAAAATACACTCACCAGGACATCTCTCAGCCGGGGAAGGCCCGTTCCCAGGATTTCTCAGATCGGCATAAACGATTTCCCCAGCCATGGTGGCTCTGGAGGTCGTTGGTGCGACCTGAGAGCGACACCAGCCTCGGACACCTTCTCACCCCGTGACCAACGCGCGTCCGGCCCCAGGAAACGGCACCAACCGGGCCTTTTATGTTTCTTTGGGGTTTTTTTTAAATATATCTCTGTATTCTGCAGCCTCCCCTGTGCCTGGGGGTCCTGTCCCCAGCCAGGAGGAGGAGGAGGAGGGGGCTCACCTGGAGGTGCAGGAACACCCGCAGGGTTGGGCCGAACAGCGGGGAAAATTATTAAATTAATTAAATAAATTTATTAAATTACCTCAAAAAAGCCTCTGATTGAGGTTTTTAGGGGGTGAGGCTGAAACGTGACAGGTGATATTTGGTGTTGCTTCCCCAAGAAGCATCTTACGAGGAGGGGGGTGGCAGAAATGCTGCAGCCATGGGAGGGTCAGAACCAGGCAGGGCAGGAGGAGCTGACACCCCCCCGGGCATTTAGGGGGGTTTTTCCCCACTTGTCTGACACCCCCTTTGTCCCCCTCGGCCCCATCGGTCGGGACAGATCCAAGTCCTGGGTTCTGGGGTTGCCCACAGTCGCTTTTGGGGTCCCGCGGGGGCCCCGGGGGCCGGGACAGGACCGCGGGAATGTCGGCGGGAATGTCCGCGGGAATTCCCGGCTCGAGCGCATCCCCTGCCGGCCGCGGCGCACAAACGCACCCGATTTCCCTCCGAAAAGGGGAAAAAAACCGGCCCCAAATCCCTTTGGCCCGAGCGGAGGAGGGGGGCAGAGTTCGGGCGGAAAAGTCCAAAAATCGGTTTTGCCCAGCTCGGGAAGAACAAACCACCCAGAAGTGAGGTGGGACCCCCCCAGCAGCACCTGTGGGCTGTGTCCCCCTCCCCAAAGCCCTCCAGGGTGACTGGGCAGAACTGGGAGCACTGGGAAGCAGCCCCAGGAGCTCCAAAGCTCCGAAATTTGGGATGGAATCCCGGGGGGAAGGGACAGGGGTGGATTTCACAAGGTTTTATTACAAAACTGAACAAGGTGACAGAACAGAACAGAAGCACTGGTGGGGACCACCGACCTGCATCCAAGGTGGGGGACCTCCTGCTTCACTCCTGATGGGCAGCATTGAGGGTTAGGGTGCAACTGTGGGCTGTTAGAGAAGCAGGAGGAGTTCTGGGATGGTTCTAGAAGGACAAAGAAACCCAGAGCCCCCAGTCCAGGCAGCCACATCATGTCCCCTCCCTGCAGGCTCATCCCCTTCACACCAGGCACTGAGGTGACCCCGAGGGGTTGCACTGAGGTATCCATGGCACCAAACTCTGAGGTGATGCTGACAAACAACTGCAAGGCAGGTGGAGAGCTGAGGTGTGCTGGGAGAAGAGGCAAAGCTGTTGAATATTCAGGATGGAGGAAAAGGTCCCCTTCCCACTGTCTATCCCAGGCGATCCTGGGGTCTGTTGCAGAGGTAAGGCCGCTGAGCCGAGCAGAGCCCGCTCCTGAAGCGCCGCTGGCCCAGGTACACACACTCGGAGTCACCGAGGACGGGGACCCTGCAAGGAGGGGCAGAGACAGCGCTGGCACCACAGGGGGGGACAGTCTGTGCCCCCCTGACCCCCCAAACCCCCCCGGGACTCACGAGGAGTTGTAGCTGCTGCCGTCCACCCACTGCAGCCGCTCGCCCCGTCTCCGCAGCCCCAGCCAGTAATCCAGGTTGTCGTTGAGGCGGAAGAGGAAGCCCTGGGAGGGAGAGAGGAGCAGGCAGTGAGAGCTGCCCCGGGCCAGGAACCCCCCTCAGCCTCCCCTCTGCCACCCACACACCCCCCAGAGCCCCTCACTCACCATTTCCCTGTCGCTGAGCACGGCCAGGGAGGCCCCGAGCTCGGAGCAGCGATCCCGAGCCTGCTCCCAGGTCCCCTCATCCCTGGAGAGGTAGTAACAGACCCTGTTGTACCCGACCCAGGCCTCGGGACAGGCCAGGAACTCTGGAGGCCTGGGCGTGACTGGAATCTCTCCAAGGCTTCTCACTGAAGGAGGAAAGGGAGAAGGTCAGAGGATTCCCCTCCACAGGGAGCCCAGCCCTGTGCCCAGAGGCAGCTGCTCCTTCCTCACCTGCCAGCACAGCCACGGCCACCACCAAAGCCAGGAGCAGGAGCAGAACCACTGCCAGGGCGAGATGCCCCAGGAGCCTCGTGCCTGGGGCAGGAAAGAGCCGTGAGGACGGGGCTCACATCCCTCACAGGGCTCTTCCAGACCCCTGGAGCAGCCTCACACCTGCCAGCCCTGTCCTCGTGGGGTGACACTGTCCCCTCCCCACAGGACACAGGGGTGGCCCTGCAATCACCCAGAAAGGGGTTTTCTTGTTCGCTGATCAATCCTGGGGACCCAGGGGCTCCTTCACAACCCCGTCCCCGGAGCAGAATCCACCCTCCACATCCGAACTCACGGGTGCCCTCTCTCTGCTTGTGACAAGCTGCATCTCGAGGCATCAGCGGGGCTGGCAAAGCCTCTTTCAGCCCAGGCTTGGGGGTGGTTTTACCACCACTGTTGAGGCAGAGTGGAGAGACCATGATGAGAGGACACGGCTGGGCCCTGCGGGACACTCGGGCTCAGGAAGGCGATGCCAGCAAAGTCCTGCCCTGTCCGTTCACAGTGACCTGTGGAGAACAAACGGGAGCTCAGGGTCCGGCTCCTGCAGCCTCAGCTCCATCCCCGGTCCCCTCATGGGCCCTTCCCAGCCCGGGAACAGCCCCTGCCCCGGCACTTTGGAGCGTTTCCATGAAAAGATTCTGTTTATTGGGATATACTGGTTTATGAAAGGGAGGTGGTTACACCATTATGCAAGTCCGGGCTGTCCCGGCGGCCTCTCACAGAATCATCGACCAGGTTGGAAAAGACCTCCGAGATCACCGAGTCCAACCCTGGATCCAACCCCGCCGTGCTTCCCAGACCGTGGCACTGATGCCACATCCAGTCTGTCCTTAAACACCGCCAGGGACGGGGACTCCAGCCCCTCCCTGGGCAGCCCATTCCAACGGCTGATTACTCACTCTGCAAAGAATTCCCTCCTAATATCCAACCCAAACCTCCCCTGGCACAGCTTGAGACCGCGCCCTCCTGTCCCACCGCTGGTTCCTGGGAGAAGAGCCCGAAGCCCACCCGGCTGTCCCCTCCTGTCAGGGAGTTGTAGAGAGTGAGGAGGTCTCCCCTGAGCCTCCTCCTCTCCAGGCTGAGCCCCCCCAGCTCCCTCAGCCTCTCCTCAGAGGACCTGTGCTCTCACTGCGTTACGGAACCATTTGGGCTGAACGGGACCCCAAATCCACCCTTAAAACGCGGGGAAGGACCAAACCGCCAGAACCCCCGAGGGCCTCCAGCCCCAGGAGAAGCGAGCGCGGGTCTCACCTGCGCCGGGGCCGCGTCCGAGCTCCTCACCCGCCGCCTCACCGGGGTCCGGACACTGCCGTCGCTCCCGGTGCTGTTACGACTCCGAGAACGACAACTCCGTGGACTCCTTCGTGGGCGTGGCCCACCCTACGGCCGTGACCAATCAGCGCGCGGGAGCCAAGAGTGACGGGTCAAACAGCCAATACGAGGCTTTGGTCCCCTCCGCAGTGGGTGCCGCTGATTGGTGGAACCGTGAGGACTGTTCCGCCATCTTGGCTCCCTCAGGGCGAACGGGGCAATCCCGGCACCCGCCGGGACTTTCCCTCGGGTCTTTCCCCGCCCGCGCGGGGCGAGCGGCCCCCGCAGCTCCCGCACCGACACGAGGACACGAGGGACAGCGGTGGGGTCGCACAAACTTTATTATAAATATAAAAAAAGGAGAAGGAGAGAGAAGCACAGCAGCAGCACTGATACAGTAACTGCTGAGGCCACAATCAGGACATTGTATGTTCACATTCGAATATTCAGCAGTGGCCAAATACTTCATATGCGCACATTAAAGCACTGTAGTGTTATGCATCCACACCGTTAAGTGATAGAAAATTAGGACCCAACCAGACATGCCTGTCTCATATTGGCCTTTTTAGCCATCAACACGCTTGCAAGAAACGTGGGTAAAGCCCTTCCCAAATCTTCGTTTGCGAAGCCTGGCCATGAGAAAATTAGGAAAACTTCTGGAGAAAGAAACCCCTAGTCCACGAAGGCACACATCATGTCCCTGCAGGTTCACCTCCTTGAGACCAGCTACTGAGGTGACAATGACAAAAGGCACTGAGGTTCCTGAGGTTGTGCTGAGATGTGGCACAAAGTAAATGTTCATCTGTGGAAGGACATCCCTGGGCTCGTGGAAGAAGGAAAGCTGTGAGTCTTCAGGACGGAGAAGGTCCTTTCTCCCTCACTTCCATTACAGGTGGGGTTGGGGGTTGCTGCAGAGATACGGCAGCTGCTTTGAACAGTCCTCGCTCCTGAGTTTATTGTCCGCCAGGTACACACACTCTGAATTGCCAAGGACCTCCAGCCTGCAATGAGGAGCAGAGACAGCGCTGTTACAGGGCAGGGCTGTGAACAGGACAGGTCGGCTCTGCCCATTCCCCCCAGCACATGAGGAGACAAGCACAAGGAGGGACAGTCCCAGCAGCCTCATCCCCCCCATCCCCTGCCCGTCCCCCGGGACTCACGAGGAGTTGTAGCTGCTGCCGTCCACCCACTGAAACCTCTCGCCCCGTCTCCGCAGCCCCAGCCAGTAATCCAGGTTGTCATTGAGGCGGAAGAGGAAGCCCTGTGAGGGAGAGAGGAGCAGGCAGTGAGAGCTGCCCCGGGCCAGGAACCCCCCTCAGCCTCCCCTCTGTCACCCACAGCCCCCAGAGCCCCTCACTCACCATTTCCCTGTCGCTGAGCACGGCCAGGGAGGCCCCGAGCTCGGAGCAGCGATCCCGAGCCTGCTCCCAGGTCCCCTCATCCCTGGAGAGGTAGTAACAGACCCTGTTGTACCCGACCCAGGCCTCGGGACAGGCCAGGAACTCTGGAGGCCTGGGCGTGACTGGAATCTCTCCAAGGCTTTCTGAAGGAGGAAAGGGAGAAGGTC